AACGAACAATTCGGATAGTAAAAAAGTCTTGGAACAGATTATGTTCGTTAACCGATCACCCACTGTATTTCCTAAATAAATCTTAGAAGCTAAGAAAAACTAAACATTTGTAATATCTCCTGAATGACAGAAATAGTATAGAACCATAATGCCAAACCCGTAAGAGATTTACATTGGTATTTTATCTCTTTGAATGTTGTGCATCTATTTAGAGTGTGGCACTCCCATTTCATGTTTGTTTTTTATTTTTTCTTTTCTCTTTCCATCCTGAGCAGTTATTATGCCTCATTCAAACACTATTACTGGAGGTGAAAATGGTCTCAGTTTGCCAGGTGTGCATTCAAAGAGGATCAAGGTCAACCAGGCCATCTTTGTGGAGCATACTGATTGGGGGAAAGATGTTTGTGACAATTCGAAAGGACATAAGAACAAATCAAATGAGGGAATTACATCTTTCTTTTTTTCTTCTTGATGGACTTTATTTTGTCTGGAATGCAAATCCACAGAGCTGAATGAAGAGATCACTGAACAAAGAAGAGCACATTTACTGAGGACATAGAGAAGGTGACAAAATATATGCCAATCTAATTCATACGTTCTAAAGACTACCTTGGACTTCTCAATGAAATCTAAGGAGTGAAAATTTGTGTGTGAAGATTCATCCACGGAATATATAGCATTTCAGTTTATTAACATTGTTGGGATTTAATATATATATTTAGCTATGTATATAAAAACTACTAAAAAAGTTTATTGACATTGTTGGGATTAATTGTTATTAAATATTTTAATATATAATTCCAAAAAAATTTGCTCTCAAGCAAAGGGAATTACAAGAGATAAAAGTACTCATGCAAAGTTGATAAATATTGACATAGAAGACCACTCCTATGCCACAGTTTAGTAAACAAAATGGACAAAGGGCATGCAGTTTTGAGAATAAGACCAATAAATGAGTTCACTATTTTATTTATTCATTTATCATGAACTGATAACAACAGATACAGAGTATATGTTTCATGGCTTATAAAACTTTCAGCATATAAATACTTGGCTGTTCTAACAGTTCTTAACTAGATCAGGTGGATGAAACAATTTGAAAAATAGAATAGTATTTTTCAATAACTCTGTTTAAGATTTCTTAAAAATTCATTTACAAATCTAAATATTTTATTAAATACCATACTTTTATCCTAGGATATTAAGTTATAGTTCAAACACTGTATGACTGGAATATATTATATCCTAAAAAATGCACACCTCTGAACCTTGAAAGTAAAATTCCAGAAAAGTTTAATGCACAATGTTATAGTTTAGTAATATAAAAATGTTTACAGAACTATTATTCTATCATTTACTAATCTGATTTTGTAATGTTTTTCTATTTTTAAGAATTTTTAACATTGTTGGATGCACTTGTTGCCACCTTGTACAAAAACATTCCAGACTAAAATTATATAAAACTCTGGCTCTTCCAACTCTTTTGTATGGAAGTGAAATCTGGGCCCTAAAGAAGAAAGATATTAACAGATTACAGGCAGCTGAAATGAGGTTTATGTGCTGAACAGTTGGATATACACTACTGGAGCACTGAAAAAATAAGGACATTTTGGAAGAACTCAATATGCAACTGTGAAAATTGGGATTTGTTAGATTAATTATTACAAGAAAATATATTTTTCTAAATATTATTATCAAGAAAGGAAGTTACATTCATCATTTTTGGAGAAAAGAGAAATCAACATCCTTTCCCATACGGCCTTATCTATAATTCTGATGGCCATATGTCTGTTTACTCTTTCTGCACTCGTTACACATCTTGTGTGTGTCTTGGATTAGATTGGCCAAAGAAGGAACTAAAAAAAGATTTTCCCACCATTTGGGGCAGTTCATAATAATTGATATTGCCACATAGAAGGACAGTTCTCGAAGACCCTGAGATGCCATAGGAGGCAGTTCTCATGACAGATATTGCCACATAACTCCAGGCAGTCTGCTGCCATAAAAAACAGTCTCCATCTCAATATTTTAATGTTGTGCACCTTCATAAGAGAAGATGATCCTCCATTCATTCTCCATCTCCTGTCCTCCTCTACAGAAGATTACAGATGCTATATGAGTTAAGGTAGTATAAATCTAATATTGTAAGCTCTCTCTCACGTGAACAGAATAGATTAGAATTATTATTCTCGCAATATTGTATTGTTGTATTTTACTTTTCTTTTATTAAATCTTGTTTGTTTTAATTAATTGGGCCATGACTCTGAAATATATCCTACATATCCTCCTCACTCGCAGAAATAGCCCTTCTACTTAAATTTTTCCACTAATAATTGAATAAGAGTTAAACCGCGGAACAATAGTTTAACTGGTGCCGGGAATCCTGACAATGGAGAGGACAATCTCAGGATCGCCTATCTCCCAAACTTTAATGACCACATAATTAATGCCATCCTACAACTCAGTGGACAGATCTTACAGATCTGTTGCCAGTAAGAGGTAGACACAATATATACTATCCCTGGTTATCCTCACACAACCATTAATTGAAAAACTCTCCACACGTAGAGAAAAATGGCTTCAACATGTATCTTGAATGCTACTAGGTAAGATACCTAATGCAGTTTTACAGTATCATCCATGAGGACAAAGACAACCAGGACATCCACTAAAACAACTCCTAGATCCTGTCTAGTTGAGACTGAAATGAGTCAACATGGCCTAAATTCATTAATGGTGTATGATGATAATGAATTTATAAAATAATGAATAATGAAATTAACTTCCTCCTGATAACTGGAACAATAAGTACATCAACCAAAACCTTGAAAACCCAGTAAATAATTTAATGTAAAATTCAACGAACATTTTTGATCTTTCAATGTTGTTGACCTAAAGCAGATCTTGTGTAAGATTGAAAATGTTTGTCAAATTTTTCATTAAATTATTTACTAGATTGTCAAGGTTTTGATTGATGTTTAAATACATAAAATTATACCTGGATGGCAATCCAAAATGTATACAAATATTGGTGGTAGCACAATAAGTGCCGATAAGTGAGCAACAGTGATAAGTCTTCCCTTTTCTTCTTTGATTTTTTCCTGGATAAAATATTTAAGAATTAACTACATAATATAAATCCTTGAATATATCTAAGTATTATTTTCAATATTCTAATTTATAAAGGAGGACTATATTATGAAAATCAAATTTTAATCAGATAATATATAATTATACATAATACTAATAGTTTTAAATCAATGTAGTAAATATACTCACAACAAAGATTGAACTTCTGTTGTTATTAAATTACATTAATAATTGCTTTTTACAATAGGTTCAATGTGAAATTAACTAAATATGATATAAAATACATATTGTATTGGTTTCTAATCTTAAAAATTTTAACAAAGAGAAAAACAATAAAATATAGAAATACAGGCATCCTCTACTTAACATTTTCTTGATAGAATGCCTTTTGGTGTTTCATACACAAATTTCATTTACTGTGCAGTACATTTCTCTCAGATATGCTTTTTAGCCAATGTTTATGTAAGAAAAATTTGTGCATTTACATTCCAAAAACTCATTTCAGTATTTTTAACAATGCAATACATGCAAGAAGTCTAAAGTTAAATTCCAAATACAATTGGTTTGAATATTAGAAATCACATGTAGATATTTTGTAAAGCACCCAGACTCTCAAATAGAATATGCATCTCAAGTACAGCTGATCTGGAAAAGACACCACAGTGTCATATGATGCCATCATCATCTATAATAAAGCTTAAACATGCTTTCATGATATTACCAACAGTAGTTAATCAATTTTCCAATTTACAAGTGTTAGGTACCAGTACATTGTTAAGAATGTAATGACATTTATAACTTGTTTTTATTGAAATCTGCACTTTTTTAAAACAAATCTCCCTATTTATGCATATTAATTGCATGTTGTACTGTAAACAATATTTGTGGTATGGTTTGCAGAATGCACATGTTACTGCATACAAAGCAACCATTTGTTAATCATATTAACTATTTGGTGATCAGAAAGCAATATATTTATCATTTTATGTTCTAATATGATAGTTTGCAGCTTATACACAGATGTTTTAGTTATAATTTCAGAAATTAGTTGAAAATTTTGGGTTGACATTGTAGCACATTATTTCTCATTAATTTGTATGGGAAAAATTATACAGTCTTGTGGTTAATGTCAGGAACAGATTACTAATATTAAGTAAGGAATACCTGTAATTTCATCTTCAAGGGTATTTCAAAAAGTAATTCTTTTTTTAACTTTTACACTTTTAGATAATGTATTTTATTCAAAATTATGCAACTTATTTCTTTGTTTAAAATATGTTCTTTCTGAGAAATTTTTTCATTGGACCAAATATACACAGTCACTAAACACTACTATAGGTTAAAGTGGCAAGATGGCTGTTGCAAAAGTTCCCAACCATAGATTACAATTTTTTCCATTTCCCTTTCTGCCAAAGCTGAAACTGAACAGCCAGATCATTGCTGATTGCATAGGCTCTTTGCTCATTTGAATATTTTGGACAATTGTTGAAAGTATATACTTTCAACACTTTGTTATGGATTGTGACAGTTTTTGTTCTTCTGCCTAAAGAAATCACACCATAGCTCTCTGTTCCTCTATAGTGAATGACATGATAAGTTATCATTTTAAACTAAGTAACATTGTTTACCTCTGAGGTGACGGTACCTGTTGAATAATGCTGTGGAAGGAGGAAGAAGAGTAATGGCAGTTTTTTTTTAAAAATCTAAATCAAAACAAAATGCAATAGAAAAGAAAAAGGAGGAGATACTTTTTGTATTTTAAAATTTGATCCAATGACCATACTTTAAATACTGCTAACATGATTAATACATTTTAAAGTTAAATATAGCTTCAGATAAGTATGTCAGTAGAAATAAATAAAATTTTTTTAAAATTCTTGAAAAAAAATAATAAAAAATGATTTTACTTACTTTAGCCATCATTAATTCAATCAACAGAGATCCCAAAATAAATATATTTAGTCCTGTAAATTAAAACACATAATTAAAAGATTAATTACATAATTTTCAATTGTAAAATGTAATTATATAGAAAATCTATCTATTTTATATTATACCATCTGATATTATCTATTTGAACACCTGTCATGGACAGTTTCCTTCAAGTAGGATGAAAATTAATATGGGGATGGTCAACTTTTTGCTACTATCATGATACCACTCTACAGGGAAAGCTTTTCACTAGATGAAGGAATATTGCTGTAAGAATAGTCTTCCATTCTTCCAATAGAACATTAGTCAGGTCAGTCACTGACATTGGACATTGTTGCCTGGCTTGTAGTCAACATTCCAGTTCATCACAAAAGATGTTCAATATGGTTCATATCTGGACTTTGCACAGGCCAGTCAAATTCTTCAGCAGTCATCTCAACAATCTTATTCTTCAATAGAACATGCTTTGTGAATGAGATCATCTGACTTTAATCAAAAATCAGGTTTGTTGAGGAGTCGTTCATTTTCTCATGTAAGTACAAAAGTGGGCCTTCACCATATTGGAAATGCATGGTTGTCATGAATGTCATTATAGCTAATAGCTTTAAACTTTTCTATCACTGGAACCAGGAGATCCAGCTTGAACCATGACAAACAGTCCTAGACCATCATACTTTACAGTTAGGACAACACAAGTGGATAGTGTATACTGTATATCAGTGTTTCTCAATCTGTAACGAATCATCGCCCCTCCAACATAGTATCACCTCCGTCACTTCAAAATTCCGATGCCAAAAGCCAAGACTAACGCCAAAGTTGTAGTGCATTGAATAGACTAGTGACTAGTATAATGTTATTTGTTTAATTATTGTACAATATAATGAATAAAATATCTAATTATTCTTACTATAATGTTTTACTATATCACCCAGAAAATCGTTTTTCGCCCCAAAATATAAATTATTACTAATCACCCCTTCAACGTGGAAAAACGCCCACATGGGGGCAATATTGCCCCCGTTGAGAAACATTGCTGTATATTAAAGCTCTAACTTTAATAAAATTGTCAACAGATAGATTGTATATAAATGAATTTGAGTTCAAATTCATATCTATATTATCATCTTATTATATTTTTATATTTAAGTATATTTTTAAAAATTTTATGAATTAACTTCTTTTCAAATTAGTAAATATGTTTAAAATGACAAGAATAATGATGCTATTTTTACAAAACTAGCATCATTATTCTTGTCATTTCAAAACTATTGTAAAAATTTATCAAACTGCAGTATAACAAATACAGCACAACAAAATTGATTTTGAATAAAGTATACTTTTCAACCATACAAAATGCATTTAACCTCACTAATTTGAACTAGATTTTCTCCCAGTATGCATGAATTAGTGAAGTTCTACTGTATTTATAAATTTAGCATTATCTGAGTAAGATGTATATAATTTCCAAAAGTTTTTCAAAAATGTTTTATTTTAATTAACTAAAAAAGACTAGGAGAATAATCATAATTTTAAATGATGAAACTACAATTTAAATAAAATGCATCATTAATAACTTTTTACATACCTAGCAACAGAAGAACTGTAGGAGACTTTGATGGACGATGAACAAAAATTTTAAGTATTTGAATAGGATCCACTAATATTCCATATCTGGATAATCAAAATCATATTAATATTTTATTAATATTTTTAATAAGATAAGTGTATTATACTTACTTAATAATATTTNCGGTAGGAACAAACAAACATTACATTTTTATTTATATAGATAGAAGAAGACCTGCTTTAGTTCACAGAAAAGCATAATGCCTCACAGAAAAGCAAACTTAGAGCGTTGTACTCGTAGCGCCATCTGTTGAACATAAAAGCCTTAACCTAGATTATATCTTTTAATTTATATGAATGTTTAACGGAATAATATACAGCCTATGTTCACTCTGAAGTTCCATTCTAAATATTGGTAAAAGAATTTTTGAAATTGGATGAGTAGTTTCGGAGATTACCCACTACATCCAAACTTACTTACAAACATTACCTCTTTATAATATTAGTATAGATATAGATGATTTCAATAGTGATATTTAGTAAATCCAATGCAACCAAGCATTTGGACTACTAAAACATCTTTCTTTCTAGACAGTAGCAAATAGAAATTTTTTATTTATGATCATACAATACAAAGAATGTTACATACAGAATATTAATAACAAAAATTTTTTAAATCAAAATTTAATATTTAAAAATAGTCAGATTGCATATAAAATAAACAGATCAATTAACAATGGAATAACATTTTCATCAAAAAATGAAATAAAAATGATAAGAAAATCTTTTAACAGTTCTTTAATTTGAAAGAAAATTAATGAAATATAAACTTATACTCTGATTTCAATTATGCTAATTTTAATGATTAATATAAGCAATTTAAATTTCTTATTATATATTACTATATTTTAATAATTCACATTTAAAATAAAAATTCATTAAGATTAGAAAAAAAATAAAAATTTTAATAATTGTAAATAAAAGCCTAAAAACTTAAATTTTCTAATAATCAAAATTATCCTTTCATATTTAAACTTTAATTTTTATAAGAAAAATTAAGTTTACCTGTGCCATTATTGGCCATTTCTTTAGTAATTTTAATTGAATAATCACATAAATCTCTCTCTCTCTGTGCTACTGGATCAGTACTGAATGGTGCTGCACCACATACTCGCTAATAGTTTGTGAAAATAAAAAAATTTTAAAATATATCATAAAATTATAAATTATATATATATAATGTATAATTTGATTGAATAGTATATAACTATTCACATAATACTGATTTTTATTTTGTTAGTAAATATTTTTACTGCATAGTTTTTAAAAAATTCAAATAAAAACTAAACTGACAACAGCAATGACTTATTTATATAGATTATTCTCTATATGAATTTAAATGTGCATGAATTTGTAAACACTTATTTATAGATTATAATGTTGGTGGATCTTACTCTAGTCAATTTATGCAAGTATCTAATCTATTCCAAACCAAAATCAAGACATAGCTGCAGAAAAAGTTGTCTTGTTTACATGCTGTTTGTATAGATATGAGGATAATAAGTGCTTCTTGACTAAGTGATATGTGTTAGTATGGCTGTTTTCTGTAATATGATGTATGTACGGTTGTTAAGGCCTAATGTTTCCAGACTTTTATGTAATATATGTGGTAAAATACATGCCGATGAGTTATATTAGCAGAAAACAAAAATAGTTTGCTACATTCTAGAGCAGTGATTCCCAAACTTTTTCGACCCACTGTCCTCTTGGTTCCATAAAGTTATACCCAACAATATCCCAATTCCCCCCAGCCAATTTTCCCTTGTGTGAGAAAGGCTAGGAAATATATGTTTAGAAAAACTTTTCTGTGAACTTCACACTTACCGTACATTGTTCTCCACATCTGAAACCATTAAATACAGTGTTTTTTCTCTGTTTTAACAGAGGAAAGGAAAAGATTGTCAGTAACCATCCTTCACCATAGGTGAAGGATGGTTACTGACAATCTTTATTGGTAAAATACTACATTGGTAAAATACTGACAATTTTTAGTATTTTACTAAAGATTTTACTAAATCTTTAGTATTTTACTAAAGTACTTTATGGTTACTGACAATTAGTATTTTATCCATTCTCCAAGGGCACTGTATCAAGGCAAGTTCTGAGTATTTACTAATTTTTTTTAGTGTATGAGGTAAGCACCAAAAGTTTCCAGCCTAACTATATTTTAGATATGATAGGAATTAAATAATGATAATATCAGATAGTGCCACCTGTATATGGACTAATAAAACAGTTTTTCCACCAATTGTCATAAGTCGCTTGAAACATTCATTTTAGTTAGACTTATTACATTAATTTGCATCATGTTTGCCTCTTGCAGAACAATGCACCAGTGCACATAGCTGCCATTACCAAGGCTGCTATGAAGAAGTGTGGGTTTGAAGAGCTTGACCATCCACCCTACAGCCAAGACCTGGCTCCTAGTGATTATTATCTGTTTCCAAAACCAAAAAAAAATGACGTTTGAAAAGTGATGAAGAGTTGTAGGAAGAGTTTATGAGCATTTTTCAGACAAAACTGCAGAAAATGTTTTTAAAGGACACTGAAATGCTAATTCCAAGATGTAATAAGTGTGTTGAACTGCAAGGAGACTATATTGAAAAATGACATCATTGTTTTAAACCTATAACATCTAAAACATACTAAATACGGAACCTGTTACCGGTGTAATTTTGCATGAAAAAATCTTCCTTTCACAAACATTTTCAAGCTTTCCAGATAGCTCTTCTTCAGGTAGAGAAAAATTTCCGTATTTAGTATTTCATCCCCGGTGTCAGAGTGAAGTTTAATTTATCTAAAACATAGTTAGGCTGTAAATTTTTGGCACCTACCATGTATGTATCTCATATATAGGGGATACATATGTGTGCTTGGTACAGCCATGTCTATAATGTACGTGATTTTTTGTTTTGTTTGTCAATGATTGTGATATATGCTCTGTATGATAGATTGTATTGTTTGATTACAGATTGGTTATAGTATATTTTGTGTGTTGTCTTGTATAGCTGAGGCGTATAGTAATATATGTTTGTTTGGAAGCAAATGATGCATTATATTTCCTATTTAGTTAAATCAATGACAGTAGTCAAGCTTGTGTTAAAAGCAGGCAACTCAATATAATGTGTTATAGAGTCTCATGCCACCATACTCAACCTTTTTTTCTCTCGGACCACATACACATGATAGCTGTTACATGCGGGCCACAACACAACAATTATAATAAAAAACTTACTTAATTTCTCACTTACCCTAGAAATTTAGTGTGACTGTTGATATTGCAAACATTTTTTCACAATTTCATTTAAATCTTTTTTTTAATACTCTTTCAACCCTGCTGGCACTAAGAGGGCCTCTTAGGCCCTCTTAGTGCCAGCAGGGACCCAATTAAAAGGCCCATAATGGGTTCGGCCAGGCCCACAATGGTGCGACTGGGTGGTGAGGGATGGGGCCTGACATATCCGAACAAACCACCCCCCGAAAATTTCCTGGGTGATTCCCTGACCCAACCAGATCCGATCCCGGGTCCCCCAGAGCGGTAGGCTGCCACCTTGATCACTCAGCCATCTGCCAGTCAATTAATTTAAATCAGGCTTGTAACTGTTGCATGCTACTTGTAAAATGGCATCCAGGTGTGAATCAATAAGCCAGTTTCTATATATGTTCTTTGCATATTTCATTTTTGAGTATGACATTTCACATAGAAATGTTGATGCAAACAATGTAAGTAAAATTTGAGCACTTTTTTAGTCTTATATTGATTGGGCACTACTTTCCAGAAGTAATTATTTCCAGAAGTCAACGTAATTATTTTCTGCTCTCTTTCATGTCCGGGCCATTCACAAAAGCTCAGCGGGCCACAGGTTGAGTATGGTGGGTCTCATGCATGATATGGCATTTCCTACAAGTCATCTTCAAATGTTGTATCTTTTTAAGATATACTTCCTGTAGATTTTTTGTATTTATGATGTAGTCATTCTGACTATATAACAGACTCCTCAATACATAAATTTTTAAACCAACAATTAAAAGCATTATTAATTGCCAAGATTAATGTATTTTTAATTCTGTACAATTCAAAAAAATAATTTAAAAGTTTTAACATAATAATAATCTATATATATATAAATGGATGTGTGTGTCCCTATATTTCACTTTTCAGCCAAAACTACACATCGCACATGAATGGTGTTTGTATGTTTGTATGTGGTAGTAGCCCCAAGTCTCCATTCGTGCACTATGGTGGTTGCGTCTCGATAGCTATAAGGGTGCAGGAGATATGGGGACTTAAAGTGGTTGACTTCAAAGATTTTCTATTTCGATTTTTAAAATATTCAAACTGTTTTAAATTCGAATTTGTATTCGAATTGGTTCGATTATAGACGATTTTAAACGTTCCAGAAAATTGATCAAATTGAAAATAGTTCATTTGACTGGACGTAAAAATTCTCTAATTAGTCTGGAAATGGGGGACCTAATTCTTGCATTCTGTGCTATAAGGGTGTGGGAGATATGGGGTTAAAAGTGATTGACTTCGAAGATGTGTAACAATGGAAGTGTCAACAATAGAAGTGTTAACAGTGGAAGTGTTGAGTAACAAAGGAAGTGTTAATATAAAGCGGCATGCAAGATTTACAGGCGGTTTTTTGCAATTTTGCGGGAAATCGAACATATTTTTAGACTCATGTAAAAATTCTCTAATTAGTCTGGAAACAAGGGGACCTCATTCTTGCATTCTGTGAAAACGGGTAAGATTGGCTATAATATAATTATCTTAATCTTCACTATCATTACTTTTTGTCCAGCAAAGCGGGTCCTTGCAGCTAGATTCTAGATTACTTAGAAAAACAGTCTTTTATATATTAAAAAAAAAACTATATTACATACAAATAAAAACCCAGTGAAGCGAGTCCTTGCAGCTAGTAATAATAATAAAAATAACTTCCTTTTTTGTTCAAGGAAAAACATTTTTTTTTTTAAATTATATATTCACTGCTGTTTTAAATGATTTGAATTTATTATATAATTATCATTAGGAATATATATAAACATGTATGATAATTTAAATTATATTATTGCTTATGATATATATATAGTTAAAATTTTAGTTTCCACAAATAATTAATCTATATTATTATTTTTGTAAATTTTATAGTAATAAACTTACTCTATTATTAAGAGCACGTTTTGAGGGCGGAGATTGATATTCAGACAAAGATATAGTTGATTCAGAATAAACATCTTGATGCATACGTTTTCTGCTGCCCATTTTGTTCTTGAATTATACTAAAAACTATAAAATAAAATTATATTATTTATGCACAAATAATAAGTTTTAAAACTTACATTTGATGATATATTATTTTGGATTTAAACTTAAGTTTTTTAATACATACAACTTAAATAAAATGCATTAATACTATAAGAAGTGAACTATTATGATAAAGTACAGAATCTAAATGAAAAAAACTTGTTATACTACAATATAGCAATTAAAAGCTTTTAATTTTTTAAAATCAAGTTAATTAATAGAATAAACACTTAATTCTTACTTTTAATATCAATATCATTTTAATGTAATATATTTTACAAGAAGTGGTAGCCTTGTGGCCCCCTCCCTTCCAAATTGCTTAGTAATTTTTTAGCCTTAATAGCTCAATAAAGGAATCTGGCTGTTCATTTGATATTTGTAGTAATTATAAGGTTAGCTGTATTTATTATATAATATTATATACTGTATACTTCTCAGTTTAGAGGTACATTAAAAATTTCTTTTGATATTATTATAAAAATCAGTAGATATTAAACAAGAATGCCAAATGGAAAATTTTTGAACATCTTATTTAAAGAAGCAAATTATAGTACTGTAATATTCAGTAATATACAAATAATTACTTATTATCTTATGTCATTGAAATAATACTTGGAATTGAGATATTTACAAAAACAAACTTAAAGAGAAGATGCAATGAACTATTTCCTAACTTCATATGGAATAGGTTATGATAAGAAAAAAAAATTACTGAATTTTTATATAAACACATTGATAATTTAAAATTCTATTGACAAATTCTAAACAATATGTTTCTTGTCTTTTCTTCATATCTTGTTTATCTGTAACAGGTAATTTGTTTACAGAATATTTAAGTATATATAAATATGTTGTTAGTAAATTGACATCTTAATAAATGCTATATTTAAATAATTTAAATATTTTGAAATTTAAAATTTGTCTTTATATTTATTTTATTAAAAATCATTGAAGTTTTACTGGAATTGGATAGCATAAAAATAAACATATGCTAATGGATAAAATATTTAGATAATATTTATTATCATTTTTACTCTGTTTTTTCTAAAAGAAAATTTTTATTATATGTTATTGCTAACTGGAAACTTCAGGAAAAATATAATTTCAGCTTCTTTGAAAAAAGTAAACAATAAAATCTAGGTTTTATCAGATATCATATCAATTTATTAGATATAAATTGTTTACACACAGAATTTATGAACTGAATCAACATTTTATAAAATTTTGATAAGAATATTTTAGATTCTATATTTATAAATTGGTAAACTTTATATTTAATTGTACAGTCTGTAACAATTTGTTTACAGTAAAAGAAACTATTTTAAATTTAATATTAGCAATTAAAGTAATTTTCTGAATTACAAATTAAAATAGTGAAGTTCAAAAGATTTCATTAATTGTTTATTTTTTTAAATATTAAATTTTTAACAACAAACTTTTTAAAAATCTGTTTTCACTTGGAAGAAATATTTAGGAAATATTTAAATGTTATATAATTTAGTTAATTTAGTAATATATTAAAGAACCTTTGGTTCCAGCAATTAATTAATTTTGTGTGAATGTTTTAGTTATTCTTTACTGGCCATCTTCAGGCTTTTAAGAACAACAAAATTACAAACTAATGAAATTGAATTACAAAATACCAATAAATTAAATACACATTTTAAAATATTCAAACTAACAGCAATGAATTATTGTGCTACACAATTTAATTTAAAAATCTTTTTAATGTTCACACAAAATATGTTTCTTTGCTGTTTGAAATGCATCAGATTGACATTACAAACATTTAAAATTTTTTAATTATTATTTCATCCAGTAAAGACTTTCAAAGTATTCACATGAAATAAAATTAATTGCTGAACTCAAAAAGGTTCTTTGATGTAGTATTTATAATTTTCATCAAGAAACTGTTTTCTTGTTTAACATATTTTATGTTAAAATAAACAAAACCACCAAAAGCACATATGCAAATCTTGCCTTTCATTCTGTCCCATTCATTTTTTGTATATCAATAAATACAGAACTTTATTATTATTATTAGCCATTCCTACTTGAACTTTTATCTCAACAGCTGATAAATTTCTGGTTAATTCATTCCTCTGTATATAATGTCATCTTTTTAAAAAGTTGTTTAAAAATGGACTCAAATTTCTTATAGCCAGACAGCCTACCAAATTTTCAGGCTACAATTAGGCTAAGTTAATAATTAGATATGAATAATTTGTCTAGAGGTAGACAGTTAAACTTCCATCTTGTGCTAATTTTAATAATTACAATAAATAAATTTTCATTTAGAATGTTTGAAAGAAAAGAATCAGTCCACAGTGGGACTTGAACCTGCAACTTTTACTTATCATGTAGACACATAACTAGCAACACATCAGCACAGTATTGTAAGATTAGATTTGTTGACTTGTTATTTATAAACAAATTTACTGTATATTAACAAATTACTTTTCTTATTATTGATACAAAACAAATTTTGACAATTAAAATAATTATATAAACTTAAAATGATAGCACTAGCTTGACTGTCAATGATTCTCCTTATTTTACACAGCAGCATTATTTTCTGCAATACTGCTAACTAAATCAAAACTAAATATGAAATCATTACAATTTTGGTTTATTTGCTTAATTTTTTAAACCCTATAGATAAAATTTGTTTTATATTAAAGAATTTGTATAAAATTTAAAATAATATTATATACTGTATACTTCTCAGTTTAGAGGTACATTAAAAATTTCTTTTGATATTATTATAAAAATCAGTAGATATTAAACAAGAATGCCAAATGGAAAATTTTTGAACATCTTATTTAAAGAAGCAAATTATAGTACTGTAATATTCAGTAATATACAAATAATTACTTATTATCTTATGTCATTGAAATAATACTTGGAATTGAGATATTTACAAAAACAAACTTAAAGAGAAGATGCAATGAACTATTTCCTAACTTCATATGGAATAGGTTATGATAAGAAAAAAAAATTACTGAATTTTTATATAAACACATTGATAATTTAAAATTCTATTGACAAATTCTAAACAATATGTTTCTTGTCTTTTCTTCATATCTTGTTTATCTGTAACAGGTAATTTGTTTACAGAATATTTAAGTATATATAAATATGTTGTTAGTAAATTGACATCTTAATAAATGCTATATTTAAATAATTTAAATATTTTGAAATTTAAAATTTGTCTTTATATTTATTTTATTAAAAATCATTGAAGTTTTACTGGAATTGGATAGCATAAAAATAAACATATGCTAATGGATAAAATATTTAGATAATATTTATTATCATTTTTACTCTGTTTTTTCTAAAAGAAAATTTTTATTATATGTTATTGCTAACTGGAAACTTCAGGAAAAATATAATTTCAGCTTCTTTGAAAAAAGTAAACAATAAAATCTAGGTTTTATCAGATATCATATCAATTTATTAGATATAAATTGTTTACACACAGAATTTATGAACTGAATCAACATTTTATAAAATTTTGATAAGAATATTTTAGATTCTATATTTATAAATTGGTAAACTTTATATTTAATTGTACAGTCTGTAACAATTTGTTTACAGTAAAAGAAACTATTTTAAATTTAATATTAGCAATTAAAGTAATTTTCTGAATTACAAATTAAAATAGTGAAGTTCAAAAGATTTCATTAATTGTTTATTTTTTTAAATATTAAATTTTTAACAACAAACTTTTTAAAAATCTGTTTTCACTTGGAAGAAATATTTAGGAAATATTTAAATGTTATATAATTTAGTTAATTTAGTAATATATTAAAGAACCTTTGGTTCCAGCAATTAATTAATTTTGTGTGAATGTTTTAGTTATTCTTTACTGGCCATCTTCAGGCTTTTAAGAACAACAAAATTACAAACTAATGAAATTGAATTACAAAATACCAATAAATTAAATACACATTTTAAAATATTCAAACTAACAGCAATGAATTATTGTGCTACACAATTTAATTTAAAAATCTTTTTAATGTTCACACAAAATATGTTTCTTTGCTGTTTGAAATGCATCAGATTGACATTACAAACATTTAAAATTTTTTAATTATTATTTCATCCAGTAAAGACTTTCAAAGTATTCACATGAAATAAAATTAATTGCTGAACTCAAAAAGGTTCTTTGATGTAGTATTTATAATTTTCATCAAGAAACTGTTTTCTTGTTTAACATATTTTATGTTAAAATAAACAAAACCACCAAAAGCACATATGCAAATCTTGCCTTTCATTCTGTCCCATTCATTTTTTGTATATCAATAAATACAGAACTTTATTATTATTATTAGCCATTCCTACTTGAACTTTTATCTCAACAGCTGATAAATTTCTGGTTAATTCATTCCTCTGTATATAATGTCATCTTTTTAAAAAGTTGTTTAAAAATGGACTCAAATTTCTTATAGCCAGACAGCCTACCAAATTTTCAGGCTACAATTAGGCTAAGTTAATAATTAGATATGAATAATTTGTCTAGAGGTAGACAGTTAAACTTCCATCTTGTGCTAATTTTAATAATTACAATAAATAAATTTTCATTTAGAATGTTTGAAAGAAAAGAATCAGTCCACAGTGGGACTTGAACCTGCAACTTTTACTTATCATGTAGACACATAACTAGCAACACATCAGCACAGTATTGTAAGATTAGATTTGTTGACTTGTTATTTATAAACAAATTTACTGTATATTAACAAATTACTTTTCTTATTATTGATACAAAACAAATTTTGACAATTAAAATAATTATATAAACTTAAAATGATAGCACTAGCTTGACTGTCAATGATTCTCCTTATTTTACACAGCAGCATTATTTTCTGCAATACTGCTAACTAAATCAAAACTAAATATGAAATCATTACAATTTTGGTTTATTTGCTTAATTTTTTAAACCCTATAGATAAATAAATTTATTTAATTAAAATAAAATGGAT